AAGTAATGGGCGATTATTACAGCCAGAAAACTTAGCCCACTGATATAATTGGTCTAGCCGACATTCCTGGTTATCTCGGAACCTGATATTATGCCACAATCCTATTACTCGGTACACACGAATTTATAGTCGCGGAGGTTGTGGATGACGTATGCTGTAGGCTAAACGCCGCATTAATTTTTTTGAGTTCACAGGTCATCCTGCTTTGAAATAAACTTAACTGTGGTTAATTGGATGAATCATGATACAGTTAACGCTGTCAACACAGTAGCGCTGTTAACATGCCAAGTTGATCGTTTGTTTTGTCACTAAGCTACGCAATTCGATCGCAAAAAACTTCCTTCACCAATCTAGATGGTATCATCAGTACCTTTTTAGGGAGCTCGGTGGGTGGGTATATACTCGAAGAGTAGTGTGTTGTGTGTGCTGCTACCAGGGATTGGCCTGGACCATGACTTAGATTTTTGTCGGTCGGCTTCATTGGTAGATCTGTTATCCTGCGCCCCGGTTGATAAAAAACAACGTGACATGCAGAATGCTCTACTTGACCTCGTATTGTGATTGATGCCGGAGTTACCTCTGTCGGTGAACACTCATGATTCAACTGTGTGAAATTTGTTGATGCAATTCCTTGCTTCTTGGTGAGCGAATATGATATTTGGCACTCCTTGAGTATTCTGGTTGCCCTTTTAAAGTTACGTTGCGTAAACTGGGCCCATTTCACCGCATAAGTTTACAAACTCCGCCATGGAGTACAAAGGCCCCAGAAAATCCCTTCCGGTTAGTTGTGTTTCCATATGCCGAATGTTCCACGTTTTCCATATTGAATTTGTGATCTTCTTGGACTTCGTGTATGTATACTAAGAAGAGGTGTCAAGTCTGTGGGAAGATGATGTTGTGTTTCTTTAGCCATTTTGTTGAAATTGTTGCAGTTTTTTGGTATACTACAGTCTTCCTTTGATCTTGCCTTGGTTGTCCTCCGGTATGAACGTCAGGCTCTCAAAGATTAATTCGGATTGTGAAACATGGCGATTGGGTATGGGGCTAACAATTTGGTTGTGAGTTCGCAGGTGTTCCGGGTGTAAGAGAGAACTACCTCAGATTGTGAAACATGACGATTCGGCTAACATTCTGGCTGCGAGTTCACATGTGTTCTGGGCGTAATGTAGAACTACCCTTCCGCTCGCATTTTATTTTACTGATATTTCGTGCATTTTTCGCTACACAGTTGTTCATTCTCCACCTGAAAAGCGCTTTTCTTATAAACCAAGGCATCTCTATCTCAGGTTGAGTGAAAGATTGTGCAGGTGTGGACACTTGTACACCATGGATTGTAGAACCAAGGAATGCGCACGACCGCGACGCTGATCCTTGCGCCCCGCATATTGCAAACAACCCCGAAGAGCTGTTTATATTACATACAATAACACTAGAACCCTCGGTTGATTTGTTTGCACCACAAGCGACGTATCGAAATTCCAGACTTTTTAACGCCCTACTTGGTTAGGGAATTGGGCTCCCAATTATAGTGCCCATTTAAGAATTGTTTTGGAATTGTTATAATTGTCATGGAATTTTATAACAGCATGGACGGTCTGTAGTGTGCAACACTGCACCCATGTTATTCATCCAAATTGCATATAAACCGATGTGGTTGTGCACAAACGCATGTGGTAGAATATCACTGCGACGTTTCAAATAAATGTAGTAGTCAGTTGGTGAGAAAAAAGCAGTGTGCTCAAGGGTATTTTTCCAGTTTTGTCAGGTGAGCCTCAAGAATGTGAAAACCAGTCGTAATCTTATGAATTTTGTCTTACATCTGGCGAATATCCAGTTTCCTGCTATATCACTGCAGCCACATCACATACTGCCTGACGCTCACGACTCCCTCAAGCATGCGGGAACGACAATATTTAATTATCTTCAGACCTACCCGCTTACGTTTATGACAGGCTCTTTGAGATAACCAAATAGCAAGGAGTTGAAGCGTCATGTGAGGTATCCGACAGGTGTGAAATGTGGTTGCCTAGGGTGCTACCATTTTTGCCTTTCACTTGACTGTCTTCTTGAAATCTCACTAAAAGGAAGAAACTACCATTGCTCTTATCTATTTCAGTATAGTTCATCGATTCCGAAGTGCAGCAACTGCAAATAAGCAAACGTGGTTCATATCTGGGTGGGGATTAAAACTCTACGGCGTCGACTAAGAAAAACGGCAATTTAGCCCTAGCTGAGTGGATGCATCGGTGATGCTCCGCAGCTGTGTATACCCTAATCGATGTCCATCATTGTAGGAAATTTCTCAGTAGGAGGTAAAGGAAAATCTACGTGCTCGGCTGTTTCATTATTATGAGTGAATGAATTATAATAGTATTGGTTGGTGCAGAGACTTATAAACAGGCAAATCGTCTGTAGGTGACTCACTCACGTAAAGTGAGTGAGTGTATCTCTTATCAGTTGCTGTTGATGTATGCGCCGAGCTTAGCACGCATTCGAATGCAATGCGCGCTTCGTCATGAGTGAGCGCGTCAGCTGAATCCAACCCGTTTGTCCGTTCTCTAAAAGAATTACGTGAGTTGGCAAAAACCAAAAGGAATGTTCGAAGTTAGTCGTGCATTTGGTAATTCACAGCAAGTTTTGATGCCGAGGACAGCATAGTGCTTTCGCAAGTTTTCTTCCAGATGAGAGAGAATATCCTCATTGCGCATTTAGTTGCATACATTCTCTTCGCCGGCGTGCGTTTGTAGAAAATTTAGATTGAATCTGGTGTCTTCCAACGAGATCAGCTCCTTGCGGGAAGGCGTTTCCTTTGATTTATTAGTCCGTTGTTGATTTACTTGCATTGTGATTTGCGCTTAATCAGGTCAGTTTTCCACCTTGATACCTTCTAAGTTCAGTGGACTTCTCTTCTGCTTTGACTGGCTACATTCATTATGTGAATCGCGTTTCGGCTTCATTTTATCGAGACTAATTGACTGACACAACCACTCTTATTCCTCTGTTGTATCAACTGACCTCCTTGCGTCCGCCGGTTAATTTGCTTATTTGGCTTATTTACTGGAGGACTTTTGCACTTGGGTTTAAAACGCACGCCCCTTTAAGTGTTTTGGACTGGTTCAACGTACCATGGTTCATGCATTTTTTTGCTCTCTGCGGTTGAGAAATATGGTCACTTCCAATATGCTATTAATAACTCAGTTTGTGGAGCGAACATGTGAAGGCTCCTCTAGTCAAACGCACCTCATCTGTGCTTATTGTGCGAAAAGTGGAGGCAGAATTAAACATGTGACTATGTGGGAAGCTTCTCGCTTGTTTGATGCGGAGCTTGCATGGGATCTCGTTTTCTTCATCGAATCGAATTTCCTTTACGGCAACGTCATTGTGGGACTATGAGCCGGCATCCTGTGCTTCCGTAGGGGCCTCCGTCTCATTTCATAAGGCTTCCTGATATGTGTAGTTGTGACCGATTTCGGTCCATTGTATACCGCAAATTAGTCAAATTGCGATTTCTGAGCGGTCTCCGGAACATTTTTTTTCGAAATTTATTTCAACAAGCGGATTTCTTGTTACACATTGGATAGTATTGGGCGACAACGTGGCACAATCGTTTGAAAATTGCACCAGTGAAGCCTTATTCGTGGCAATTCAGAGTTGTTGTGATAGCTGAAAATTTGGTCTGTTCGCCTCCTGTTGGCCTAATTCCCATGCACAATGATCAAGAAGGACGCAAGTGTGGCTGAGAGGCGTCAGGATATTGGCTCAAGCAAGAAGGAATAAATAAACCAATTTTTATACTCTAAAAAAGAAGCGATTACTTGCAAAGCAGAAGTGACCCTATTTCTCAACCGCTGAGATCGAGAATACGCGCGAACTACGGTTCTCTCAACCAGGCGAGGAACTAGTGTAAAGGAGCACCTGGTTCCAAACCCTGGGAATATGTGAATCGTAGTGGAAGAGGCGCCCGGTAAATAAATCAAACTTACTGGTTGAGGATTCAGTGCAAAAAATATGACACAAGAGCCAGAAAATCTGCGTGCTCGCCTGTTCTATTGTTATACAGAGGACAATGGTTATTTGTTGCATAGATGTGCAAACGAGCAATGCTATTTCAAATGAGATTTGATGTTTTCTATCGAAACGTCCAGATATTATCACGGTGTATCTTCGCATTCACAGGTAATTGTTTGTTTGGTAGCAACTGTAATTGTGCTTTTGAAAAAAAACAGTTGATAGTGTAGTGGACAAATCTTTTGACATACACACTGGATATCGTGAGTGGTATCAAAAGAGAAAGTCTTGCTAGAGAACTGAAGTGATGTAAAAGGGAACTCACGACTAAACGTCAGACAGAGCTTCCGACCTTATCGCTGAGAAATTACTTGAAAAAACAACACAAGTTGGCTCGTAGCGTATTTCTTCTGGTTGTATAATTTTGCAGCGCCGTCTAAACGGATAGAAAAACAGATGGGAGGACTCAGTGGATGAACTCATGTTTTCAGAAGGAAGCGCAATTGTCCTCCCATGATTGGAAAAAAACATTGTGTAATCGACTGCAAATGCGATGAACACCGTGGGCACCAAATCCATGAATCTCTTCCATACTGCCTCAACCCACCTCGCTTTCTCAAATCGACGTTGCTGCGCACACAAATACGGCCTGATGTTAAAGCAAAGAGGGTTATAAAATACTAACAAAATGATATGCTGTGTGTAGTTAGGTTTGGCTGCGCACACAATGGTGCTGGATCATGTGTGCTGCTCATGTATTCCCGCCCTCACGGGTTCCACGAACCTTCTGGTGTTGTAGATAAGCCTCGCTCACTGCGAGGGTGTGCCATGCACCGTGCACGAGGTTAGAATGGCCAACATTCATATCATTTTGCTTGCACATAATTCCTATATCCCCGCAGTTTTTACCCTTTCAATTTTCTGAATATTTTACCAGGAATCAGAGGGGTTGGAAGTTTTCATTAAAGAGAATGTTGTGAATTTAGCTTGGTATAAGTGTCACCTAAGAACACAGAGCGCTTTACTAAAGTAATCGCTTTGCTTCAGAGAAGGGTTTTCGATAAAGAACTAAATAACACTCGGACTACGCACTTGTTTACCCAAACGGAGTGGAATTTTACACTGGCCGAGGTACCCCGTGGTATCACTATTTCATATTATTATGAAAAATGAAACCAGGGACATTTATTCCCATTTGTTGCGATATCGAGTGGTGACTCGTCATTTTTGTGTTAATCGGTGTAGCGTTTCATTTCCCGGATATTGCATGTTCGAAAAAGTCGCAAGAATTGCAATTATAATTCCCATATCCCATGTTCGATCTATGGACTGTGGTGGAGAGACATTTTGTTTATCGGCTTTTTTCCTGGTGATCTGCGCCCAGTTGGATCTACAGTTAAGCACATGAGGCCTACCGAGACACAACTAAAAAACTGACAGTTAAAGATATTTTGTATGTGTCGCAGTATACTAACGAGCAGAACGCCAATAGGTAGACAGGCGCTGTGGAAGCACGTTTTAAATCTGTTTATTTTGGAAGCAACACAGTCTTCATACGTTTGCTGAAAGCCCACAAAGAGCTCACCGCCGGTTTAGTCAGAGTAAATTCCTTGGCTGAAGACTTTGTGTGACCACTTAAGTCAACCAGAAGCGTCATCCCTATTTAACAGCAATCCGTCAAAGAACTGAGTTGTTCTTGTGGCTGGTACCAATACCTCGGAACATTGTCGACATCAAGTAGGTTCCCGTTGGTTTTTCACTGTTTTGAGGCTAAAACGTTCTTCTAAATCCCGCAAGAATGGTTTTCAAAGTGGAAATTGGGACTAATGGTACACAATCTGCTGCGTCCCACCTAGTTTACTCCATGACTGACATTTCATTCGAGAAGGCGGTGCATAGAAGCCAAGAATAATGGACACACTAATGGACACACATTTCGTAGCTTGTGTTGTTTTTCGTCAGTATTTCTGTGTCTTGCAGAGTTATTGTTTGCTTTGGGTGGTTCGATTCACCGGTTATTACTAATGTGTATAACGTGATTCAAGTTAGTAGGAAACCGACTTCGTTATGTTGGGGTGGCATCACCGAGTGTGAGTGACAGGTTTATTTTGCACAAACACAAGATTATTCCCACGGCCCCCATGTTGACCGAGCCACTACTAATCATTCTCCCTTTCTTCGGAGCTTCATTGTGTTACCGATGTGCTTTCAGACTCCGCAGTAACTGAGTCTCAGTTAACCTGATGAACAAACCAGGTGTTAGAAATCTCAAGAAAGTCCAATGACGTAGCAACGAAATCGATTGTTACCCCAAATAGACCTATTCTATCGCTAGTCAGTGTGAGCAAATAATTGTATACTTTTTGGTACGATGAAGGCATGCGACTTTGATTAAACATTTGGTACGCTACTTTGATGAAATTTGTTTGTTCATTCCTGATTGACTTGAATGTGAATCGCATGGAAAATGTCACACGTTTCGAATGTGTCTATACTCAATCCTAAGATTCACTTAGTAGCATTTTATGGCCGCTATGTTTCGCCGCAACCTTATTATTTGCCCAGTGAAGAAACGAACGAGAATATCGAATTTGTTATTATCGAATTCAAGGGATGACAAGATTGTGGAGCTCCTGTACGCCTGTCGTTGTTTTCACTGGAAGCTGTGGTCTACACAATTCGTTCCTGACTAGATGCCTGCTTCTGGTCATGACTCTGTCTTTAGAGTTCTTCGTGAATCGAAGTAATTAGGCTCGGTAAACATTCAGTTCACAACGGAAGCCGCGCCGAAGTCATTGAAAATAGCAACACAAGCTCCCGGATCATGCAAATGACAGTGCGCTGAAAAACGCAATGGTGCATTTCAGCAACCATGGTGAAAATTTAATTCCTCATTATAAAGAAAGCGATGACGAAGCCAGTGCAAAAACGTGCTGTGCAACTTGTTTCAGATCGCATGCAATATAACGTGGCAGACAAACTGATGAGAGGTCAAGGCTATGGCAAACGATTTGACCGCAGGTGTTGCAAATGACGACAAGGATATCTTTAGAACCAGGATGAGGAAAGTGAAAATACCAAATATGCGAAAGAGAATCAAGAAAGGCTTCACCAAGAACCTTTTCTCGATTACATGCCCTGTGGTATAGAGCAGCCAACGCCATCGGTTTGATGATACCACTTGAATCCGATGCGACATGGTATTATTTGTGAGCGTGCAATCCATGCTTGAAACCAGGCTGTGATGCTACCACGGTTATGAGGAAATCCCTTCATCTCGAAGTCGTTTGTTAACAAACATCGACTGAACACCCATGAACTATTGAACAGGAAAGTAGGCATCTCATTTGGGCACAGATTTTCAAATCCGAAGATTGTCAAAAATTGTCTTCAGATTTCATGCTTTTTTTTAACAAACTTCACCTTCCATTAAACGCTTGAGCGGAACTTGGAAAAGCCAGAAGGCTCCTCGCATGTGTCATCAGTAGTATGCGCCTGTAAACCGTTACACCCGGACATAGAAGGGAGGCCATTTGGTGTTCGAGTTTAAGGCATTTATCCCGAAAGCCCATTTACATTTGCACATTCTCGAAAAGGTGGTGGGTTGTAAGTAAGTCCAAACGCCAACTTGGAGGACTTCTACCCATAGACCAATCTGTCACGGGAGGGTTTGTGTGTGTCACATATACACTACTCAGTGGGTAATTGAAACGTACAAACCGTAAAGCCTCTGTGACTTCCAATCTCTCTCTCTGACAGACCCAGAAATGGTAGCTCTTTTGTTGGAGTGACAATACTGGCACCAAGCGAACAGGAACAATCTACTAGGATCTTTCATGGGTTGTTTGCATCTAGAATGGTTTTACGTGAAATATCTTCCAAGAGCAAGGATGTTATCCATGGTCGTTATGTGATCGTGGTTGGCGAACTATTTGACGAAGATATGACTAACCTTGTTCATCTAGTTGCCTAGCCATCAAGGGCGGATCCATTCGAGAAGGCCTTCCAAGAATACACACTCATACAGCGTATGAAATGATTGGGACACCGAACACTTATCTGCTTACTTCTTTTCAGAGCCGAAATGGACAGATTTTGGTTCTTAAACTGACTGATAAAAGCTCATAAAGTCAATTTGAACAAGTATTTCTATACAACTTGGTAAGCGTCTATTTGGAATCAACATGTGGACTGCCATTTTGATCAAAGTCGTTCGTCAACTAATCATCATTTAATTCAAGCGATTTACAGCTTTGGACGTAATTTCAAAGTCAAGGCATACCAAGATTGTACAGCTCCGTTGCGAAGGTTCTGACACTTTACTGAATATGGAACTGTGGTTCACACTAGCCCCTCCAGACTTGGGATAATGCATCCCGATACTGTTGGAATAACTGATACTCCACCAAGTAGGGAGTATCGTACATATTCTGATTGCCTACTTTGGAATCCATGCATCATTCTGTCTGTTTTTCTTAATTCACGTTTCATTTGTGTTCTCATTCAGGCTGACGTTTTTCATGCGTATCAATTGGTGCGTAAAAACAATGTTCCAGCGGAGAATATAATTACCTTCGCCTACAACGATATTGCAAACAACCCCAAGTAAACATCACGTATAAATGTTCCGATTCGATAGCAACGACAATGTTCAAAACGCGTTTTGTTGTCTGACTTCAAAACGTCTCATTGTTGAGCCATATTTTCCGTAGACATAGATCATGGATAAAATTTAGGTGCAGGTGATTATGAATTTGTGTGCATCACGTGAGATGTGTAATCAATTTGCTCTTTGTTCATGGCTTTTCATGACTATAAAAGCCACAGATCCCCGATACAATCAGCATATGCCAGGTCAAATTGCAGCCATCGTGGTATATCCTTGCTAGTGATGATGCCCTCGTTTAATTTTTCAGTAATGTGAAATTAATCGCGTTAATTCGTCGTCTGAGCGAATCATTCGCCTGATGATTTGGAGCGAATATGAAACAGAAAATCTCGTAAGCTTAACGTTTTGTAATACAGCCGATTGACAGCATAAGTAGAAGAATCCCATTGAAGACATAGAATGTTTGATCTCGCCTGCAGGTCCTAAATATCGTAAGTTGTTCATTGGTCGATCGAATTTCATGTAAGAGCAATGGATGATGAGATGCTCATAAACTCTACCACCGGTGGTGGTAGGAAATTTACCAAAGAAAATTACCTTTTCACGCTATATTTGTCATTTGGTTTTTTGTGCACCCTATCGGGACATTGAAGGAATTGAAGGATACCTTAGTTTATTTCTGCCTGGAAGAATATTAGTTAATCGAATGTGTGTCAAGAGGTTCGCTAATCACAAATTTATTCCAATACAAGCGCGGAAACCAACTTCCAAAGCAATTTATTAGCCTTTTGTTTTTTCTTTGCGATCGACACGTTAATTTGTCGCAAAAAACTTACTGCCACTTTTCATTCCTTCATTCCAGAAGCCTGTTTACCGGCCAAGTGTTCCATGACTTCATGCACGAAGATGTCTATCAGAGTGTGGTAGTTGAGTATCGTGGAAAAGTAATTGCGAGTGTCGGTGCGAATGAATTTCTGCATCAGTTTGCACAAGGTGCGAGTAAAATGACACTGCGTATCAAAACAGAATACAAACCGTAG